TCATCTAGTTATTGCATAGTAACAATCCATATTGGGTCACAGATAATTTGTTGTCCACATGGATGATGTACCACTAATATTGTTTCTGGCCAATCCGATTTGAACGCTCAGTTAAGAAAGCTGATTCTTGGAAACTAAGCTATCCAAAAACGTCCTTAATTAACCCAGCAAGAGGTTACAGAGTCAAATAACGCATTGAGCCTTTTACACAATGGCTTACATTTTGAAAGGCCTCAAATTATTTTCATGTATTTAGTGTTATCGAGAAAATGGCACGCATATTACACATGTACTCAAGCTATCTTGAGGAGTATCACGGTGCGCTGACCGAATTCCACACACGTAGCTTCAACCTGTTCACCACTCAAGTCTCTCGTGATCCAGCGTGCGTGGAATTTTTGGTGAGTTCCACTATACTCCCTTCATATTTACGTGATGGTCAGCGCTGGTTTCGTGATTCTTTGTGTGCGAAGATAGAGCCGAAGGAAATATACGCTAAATTTAGTGACTTCAGAGTGGACCTGGTTGTTTGATGCTCAGTTCCCATGGAAATGGCCTTGTTTTAACTTAATGACTGGGAAAGTTGATAACAAGATAGGTTAGATGGCAACTTAGCAAAACTGCATATCATTTTAGTTGCGTCTTTTATCAGCTGTTTCGGCTAAAGGTAGCTCCTCATTTGTGTCTACACCCTCTTGTGGAAGATGACTGAAACACACGCGTTCTCTGCTCCTTGACATCCATTGTGGTTACCTATGCCCACTACCTTTAGGTTGGCTCCAGCATTCGCATTTGGGTTTCCGAAAACCACCCGGCCATTCTATTTACGTGTACTGATGTATTCATGAGAAATAATCTGCTCTATACTGGCAACCGACTGGTGGGTGGCCTATGCCACATCCGGATATGGTCAAAAAAGGTAAGTGCTTCTGTTCTCCTTAGACGATATAATGAAATAGACGCAAGCAACCAATCTGTTTCATGTACAACAACAAGGGAACTGACTCAACTACTAGTGTTTTACGGGAGTAGTTGGATTCCGCAATCAGCCACAATAATTTGCCGACTAACCCCCCAACTAACCTTCACTGTCCTTGAGCAAGATCTAATCCCCCATATTTTCAGCCTCCTTGAGTCTAGTGTTATTGCCGTTGTGCTGACCCAACGGGCTATGATAAACGGTGGACAAACCGTTGTAGCGCGAAATGCGTCGATGGGACCATCACTAATCCACTCATTTTTGTCACGTAAACTATTCCCCCTTTAGTCTATCATCCTTTGTATGCATCTATGGACATGATTGATGAGAATGCGCAAGATAACGACTTAATCTCACATCCTGCACTTCCGATGATGTTGGTAAGGCTTATGAAGAAACTTCATTGCTTATCCATTCCCTCGGATAAGCACCAAGCATTCGGTGGATTTCAAACATCAGAAGATTATCCCACAAGGTCATACTTTCCTGCATTTTTCACATCTATGCAAATACGAATATGTCCAAAAAGGATTAAGTCACGTGGTTTCGTATGTAACCAAAATAGTGCTGGATTAAGCGCTGATTCCGCTCTCGACCAACAGCAATTTTCATTAATGGCTCTGGAATGTGAGGCTTACGATTGTGCATGGATTAATCTGTGTTTGCGTTCACTGGAAGCTTACAGTCCACCAGGCCCAATTGTTGAAAATTCCGTTTACATGCATAACGTCGTCAGCTTGTCTGATGAGACCTGTGACTTCACTTCATGATCTGACATGGGCGGATGGGTTTAAGAAACATACAAGCATCAAATGATATCGTCAACGGTGGGCTTTGTGGCCTCCTTACTCTTCATTATTTGGACAGCACACAACGGGCATAAAGCGAAACCCACGTTTTAATTAAAAAGCATAATGTACTACTGAATTCGCCGCCATGTCTATCAGATAAATGTATTGAAAATTTGCCTACTGCCGAATTCTGTGAGCGGTGGATTAAACGGTCTCAGCAATGTGGTTATGAATGTGCCGTTGGCCGATCGAAGTTAAGTGACCCCTACCCAATGATCCCGTAAGCAGAACTAAATATGTTTCGCGACAACTACGGTATTACAGAGGAATAGTAGGGGGGTTGTATAGTATAGGTGGAAATTCGTCACATCTATGCTCACTCAGAGAGCCGTCACGCGCCCGGAAAAGCATTGTACGCGCGTTTCCTCCTTTCAGGATTCGTCAGCAGTGCGCGGTATTATCAAAATATATAGAGCTAAGTAACTTGCGTGAACCTCACTTTTCTGTATCCCGGTGTACAAACAACAAATTGTAGTTAGCAAATAGGACGAAAAGTGCTGTTTAAGCCAGCCAGACAAAGAACAAGTGAAGAAACACAAAAATCAGAAAACCTAGATTTTGAGAGGATACCATCGTTTAGTGCAGTGCATATCCCACTGTGTAAAAATTTATCTGTGGCTGTGGAGACAGCTGCTGTGGCAGCACTAACCGGAGTCTGGGTGTCATAAACAATGAACACATTCCAAAGTGGCACCACAGCCGTAAGGGATGTGTGAGGACTGAATAAAGTGACTAGGAAAACCGAGCTACCTCAGCAGTCACTAGATACTTGCTGACTAATGCTCACCGAGTAAATCCTGGTGAGTCATTTACAGTCTAAATTCAAGATAAGCGGCCCCAAATCATTAGGCTATTAGGGGCTAGCATCATCGATCGTCAGTGATCACCGCTGTGCATTCAAAAACAGCTGCCAGTAAACTAGGCCTACTAAGGTAGCCCATACGTTTTGCATGTCTTTGTGACTGATAAGAATGTATGAAATGACGTCGCCACCAAACAGCCTTCCTCTTCCGATTGTTTGTTAGGAATTATAAAGGGAAATGCTTGTTTGAAATTTCTCAGACAAAGACAAGTGAACACTGGATAAACGTGTGCAGGTGTTACCAAAATCACTGACCAATCATTGATGGTTCAATCAGAGAGTGGGTTGATGGAATGACAAGCACATGCAAGTAAACAGGGTGTCAACTTTGATGACCTGTGCTTGAATGTGTGAGAGAATGGTAGCTATGTTGCAAAGCTATGGAGATGGTGACATCAGACCTAGTCAAATATCATTCGTGAGGGAATGAAGAGGTACACCAGATGTGAATTGCTGGACAACGGTGTGAACCTACAGAGGGTTGATCAGCTACTAAGGCAACTGCATGGGAGGCGATGAGAGGGTGGTGATATTATTCAAGTATTTTGAGAGCATGGTTCGATGCACCAGCAGCTCTCGCAACCACAAGGACATATCAGTTTAATGAACAGAAAAGGACGCTAAGTGTATAATAAATTCAAGTTGCAGTGGAATTTTCCAACCAATGCAAGAACCCTCTGCACTGATGTTTGCCATAGTTTTACCAAAGCATAATACTCGCAAATCATGTTAGAGTATTACCAGCCGCAAGAAATTCTGACTTAAGTAGTGAGCTTTGTATCATATCGTAGGGTTCCGTATGGCTTCGGTTATATGCATCTGTTTCTAGTTCGAACTTGATGGTAGACACAACACTGAACTGAGCAACTGCATATGCCCTAGAATTCGTAAACAGCAAATTAGGCAGGAGTGGGTTGAGACGCTTGCTCTTCGTTGCATTATGAAGCAAATTGCAAGCCTTCAAGCGCAATCACATATACGCCATGAAAATGGGCCGCTAATGTATTATGTGGGCGATTGCGTGGTAAGCACGGAACGTGGATTTCGCAGGTGGGTTTCTGATAAGCAGCAAATATCGATCGATAAGTTCTCAAATGTTCGGGCACATGCTGCCTGTGGGCTAATCTATAACAAAGTGCACACGTTGAAGCATGTAAGTATTATCGAGGATCGAGGACTCCAACGAGAAACGGAGGAACTGACGTTGTTTTCTTGATTGAACATACACTTGTCAACTAGACTGGGGCGGCACACTGCGATTGCCTGTGAGTTGAAACTAGAAGACAAGCGACTATTCAATCAATGTGGAGGAGGGCGTTGAATTGAGGGATTGAAAACGGAGGAATAATAGTGAAGTTGGAACGGGACGTTAAAGGTGAAAAGACGCAAGTGGGGAACATAAGAAGACGGAAATGTTTGGGCAATAACATCCAAACCCTTCCGCTCCTGCTCGAGGCAGCAGACAAGGCACCGTTCATTATCTTTTGCATTGGCCAAAGCGTCAAACGATGGTTAGAAGGAAACTCATGGTGTATTGCTTGGGCCGGATACCTGCAGGTTGCTCCGTCCTAGACAGCAGAACAATTACGGTTCGCAACTAAAGCCCTTGGTTCAAAAGTCTGACCACAATGTAGCGAGTTTGGCAGTGGGCTACAAGATGTCCGTTTTAAGGAACGAGGAGCCACACTCACCCTAACCCTCAAACTGGGGGAACAGGAGACTGACCTTGTCTGGCCCCTTACCATTGACCAACCTGGTATGAGTGGTTCTGAAGGTTCAAAAATAGCACCACCCAGCACAGCTGAATGTCGGCCAGTGGCCTCGTGGTCTGCTCGCATAGTTTACAACCATAAGATCACCGGTTCGTGCGACGGACCTAACAAACATAAGCCATTATCAACTGAAAGGGCCACATGCAGTTTAACCTGTATACTATTTACTAAGGATTAATAAGGGATGCTCTGTGATCTGCACCGTAGTAACGTGCAAGTCCGTGGCTAATTAGCGCCACTACATCAGATCTAGTGAACTGGTCACCTAGTCTGCCGATACTGTCACCTATACTTCAGGGGTCTTTGTCAAAGTAGAAGTCGAATTGTGGGTTCAAGCCACATAGGAGTCAAATGGAATGCACACTACGAACAATTCTCGAAGAAATGAAACGGTCATACAGCAAACTTCATAGCGTGTGATGGTTGTTTACTTGAGTCTTAATGGGATGAACGTCTACTTATACGAGTCACTTAAAACAACTTAAGCAAAATTGAAAAGTTTTATATCCTGAGTGACTATATTCCGAGGAAAGCCCTACGCGTAAACCTCTAATAGTGCATTATTAAGTTATGCGTTCACGTTAATCATCGGCTGTTTCAATGGACAGTCACCAGTTCCGAAGGAACAGAAAGGTAAAAATATTCAATTCCATGGCATCCGCCTTATCATCTTGTTCGGATCCTCATGTGAATCCGGATAGTACCAGCAATGTGAGCATAAACAGTGACCGGCTGCAATGGAAAACTAATTGGTGGCAATTGAGGTATTTTACAGTTGATGGCATCCAGTGACCGTCAACCAATAAACGAATCGTCGAACAGCAGTTTTCTACTAATGGTACTCGTCGGCATTTTACATCTTTCTCCAAACCTGCTGAATTCCAGGATTACAACTATCGTCCTATGGGGATAGGATATTTTAAATAATGAAATTGATTGTGACAGCGCTGGACTCTTGTGCCCCGACTGGTCTCATAGTAAACGTGCTATCCTCTGTCATTGAGTTTCATGTCTTCATCTTTACCTAGTGCAGTCAGCACACACTCAATCGAATCGGATTAACTCCCAGTGTTTAGTGAGCATAAATTTACGGAATTATTTAAGACGGAAAATGACTTGTGCTCTCCAAGTTGTTTTAGCGCGGTTCATTCATCTCTCCATCTGCGCTACCCTGTTTTTTAACAGTTTCCACTGTGGCAATAGTGTGGTCTATCAATGTTTCTCCGCGCTACCAGCTGGTCCTAGAGTTACACGCATAGGATTGTTTTTAATAAAGCTACAACTCGATCTGTGGTTTCAATTAAATCTTCCACTTGCCCACACGTCTCGCTAACATCCATCCACTACAAGCCACTTCCAACTGCTTTGTTCTATAGAAACCAGTGTGGACCAATAAACTAGTCAAACTCCACCTTCTGTGTCCTCGTCGTGACACGCTCACCTACGGTAAGGAACGTTGAGCTTGTGACTGAAACAAAGAACGCAAGCATCACTCGTCCTCTGCCTCACGTGACCGGACAAGAGAAGTGTTCGTTTGCAACAACTACCTACGATGGAATTGATTCCACCTAACCGCAAAGGTAGTGAGCAGACATTTGGACGAGTACTTAGCAGAAGCATTATTTGTACATTCTGCGGACATCGATTTCACCCGTGCTGTGCTGGTTTAAGTCAACTACAGTGTAAGAGACAAAGCAACCTGACTAATGCGCTCTGCTTTTGCCAACACGCAGAGGAATCCCAATAGTCGGTTACATATATCGCTCTTGAAAAGTGTGAAGAACTGACTGAAACAATTTAGCGGATAGCGAGCTTCAGGGCTTTGCCATTAGAATATAATAACATCGATCTTATTATACATCGAAATCCTCGGCGCGCTGTACCAAATTTGAGGGCTGAAATCAGTCTTCCTAACGGGCCAACGACCTCATCGCTACCTACTTCGATGATTACTCACCCATTATTTAGGCAAACCACCTCCGGAAAACCAAATTCCTAAATGCCATATCTCACTAGTTAATCACCAGAACGGCATTCCGGGGCCGGGTACCATAAGCAATGATCGCCTCGCTAACAACGCCAAAGGAGATCCAACACGTCCATTTCCTGAACCAAGCACTAACGTTGAAAAGCAGTTTTCACAACATTACCTAGCGCCCGCTAACCAATTCAAGTTACCAGCCACAACACTCAAACCAACACTCGCTAAACAGAATCAGAGTTCGTTAACGGTTGTGTACAATAATGTTCGTGAGTCCAGACCTGGCACAATAGAATGCAAGTTATTAGATGATTGGAATTCCATGAGTGGAATTCTATCTACTATGACATTGGTATTTGAATTGAACCAACTACGCTACGATGCGTAACGCGTCACCCAAATTTAGTGCATTACGGCGAACCCCGATTTCTTCGAGCACGCCTGAACCCAACTGAGGATACAGAGGCCGTCCTACTCTCAGCAGTTCATCTCCGCAACTCATCGAGCGGGGTACACATACTGCCTTCCAAATACTACCTTCTACTACATCCTTTTAAAGAACAGCCAAAAGGAAAAGTTGCCC